CCGCCGGGGGGGCGGTGGGGGGGCCCGGCGCCCGGCTCCCCCCGCGGCTTTGCAAAGTCTCGGGGAAGCCGGCAGCGGAGCAGCCCAGGCGCGCCTGGGCTGCCTCGCTGCCCGAGCCCCCCCGCGGCTTTGCAAAGACCAGGGAGACGCAGACCAGGGAGATGCAGAGAAAGCCCCAGAGTACACGGGCGGCAGGACCGCGAGGTCCCGCAGTCCGTGTACTCTGGGGCAGCCCCGTTCGTAACTGCGGATCCGACATAAGTCGGATCCGCGTAAGTCGGGGACTGCCTGTATGTATTACACATTTTGTGTCATAATTCTTAATGCCTTTTCTTCTAAAATGTTGCATGCTCCACCACTTAAACAGCCATACATTTTTAAGCAGGACCATACTCATATCTAGTTATCAGATAGGTTTCTAGTTTTTATGCTTGGATGAATGGAAAAAAACCCTGAATTTCTGTTTGAGGATCCAGGCTGGAGTCTCTCCAGCTGCTACCATAGCTAATTTAGCTGTGAAGACAGGTTCTACAGGTTTAGATTGTGAATAGAAATGTTTACAGATCTTTTTTTAATTACCAGTGGAAGAAAGGAAAGATTAGGGCTATAAGAAAATGATCAAACTAGCATAATTCAACCACTCATACAGGGGAAGTCAACACCTTGAACGTTTATCAGTTCCAAATGGCAGAAACTACAAGCACAGAATATCTTAAAATAAGGAATTCTTCCCTAGAGGCAGCCATTCAACATTCCATAGCGCAGAACATATCTGAATCTTCCTCTGGATACGTGGAGGTCTAAATATGATTTTAAGATTTAAACTGAGAAAGATGGCTTGAATATGATGATCAATCTCATCTGCCAGAATTATTCCATACTTGTAATACCATTCACTAGAATTTGAGAGGATGAAATAGATCTTCTGGACATCCAAGACTTTTTTCTGATTTGCTTATAAAAGGTAGTAGGAGCACGTACAGGCTGCAATTAGCTTTTTCCTTAGGTACTCACTGTCTCAAGCACATACAACTTTGGGATCACAGGAGTTAAGTTTTATGATTTGCTCAAGAAAACCTTCCAAATGACATTAGTACACACACTGAACAGATGGGGGAAAAAAAGGTTTTGATATCAGAACTAGGAAATTAGGTTACTAACTATGGGCGTGAATCTGAACCCTTGATGTGAGAGGTAAACACGCTCATAAGTCAACTGTGGGCACATGAGCAGTCCCATTGAGATAATAAAACCACGGGTGTGCAGGGTTGCCAACTTTCTACTCTGACAAAACTGAACAGCCTCACCATGTCCTCTGAGGCTCTACCCCATCCTAACTCTTCTCCAAGGCCTTTGTCTCACACTCACCCCATCCCCCTTCCTTCTGTCTCTCACTCTCCCAACCCTCACTCACTCGCTCATTTTCACTGAGCTGTAGGAGGATGAGGGCTCCAGGTGGGGGTGCAGGCTCTGGGGTGGGGTTGGGGGATGAAGGGTTGCAGGAGAGCAGGTTGTTCCATGCTTGAATTAAAAGGTTCGGAGGGCAGGAGGGTGATTCAGGGCTGGAGAAGGAGGCTGGGGCACGGGAGGGCCTCAGGGTGCAGGCTCCAGGCAGTGCTTACTTCAAGCAGCTCCCAGAAGCAGCAGCACATCCCCTTCTGTCTCCCAGGCAGAGGTGTAGTTAGATGGCTCTGTGTACTGCCCCCTCTGCAGCTCCCATGGGCTGCAGTTCCTAGCCAATGGGAACTGCAGAGCTGTGGCTGGGGTCAGGCAAAGTGCGCAGAGCCCCTTGGCTGCCACTATACCGTTGTGCTGGGGCGGGACGGGGGAGGGGGACATTGCTTCTGGGAATCACATGGAGTTAGGTATGCAGGGAGCCTACCTTGTCCTCCCCCCTCTGCAGCTCCCAGGGGCTGCAGTTCCTAGCCAATGGGAACTGCAGAGCTGTGGCTTGGGTCAGGAACAGTGCGCAGAGCCCCTTGGCTGCCACTATACCGTTGTGCTGGGGCGGGACGGGGGAGGGGGACATTGCTTCTGGGAATCACATGGAGTTAGGTATGCAGGGAGCCTACCTTCACCCCTATGTGCTGCCAACCGGACACTTAATGGCGCACTTGATGGTGATGAGATCCACTAGGTTTCCTTTTCGACTGGGCATTCTAGTTGAAGACTGGACACCTGGCAATCCTACACATGTGTCTGAAATGAAGTTTGTGTCATTGCAAGACTGAGGTGTAACTAAAGCTTGGACATTTTAAGAGGCACAACAGTTCATTGGATATACATTTGTCAAGTTACTAAAAAATAGGCAAATTCTGCTGTTATTCTGGTGTAAGTCTAAAAATAACTATGTAAAATCATAATTTGGCCACATGCATTGCCTGATAAAAAAGGTACAAAGACAAAGGAAATTCAAGAGAAGCAACTGCTTTAGTATGTTACAACTCAATCTAGACACAATCATTCCAGGTACTTCAATACATTACACACTGACGCAGCTGTCCATGACACAGCCTACTCTAAAGACAGTTTCTCTCAGAAGGCTGCTGCAGGTATTGTTTGCATTCTTATCTTTATCTCAGTAAAAAGTATTATGATTTCCAATATGAAGGGAATAAAGGATCTCCTTCTGGGGTCAAAATTCAGAAAATCTAAGTTTGAGGATTATTGTAAAAGTAATAGTGTTAAGCTACAGAAATTCAGTTTCTCCTGTCCGTGTATCTATTTTTCTTAAATTTGGCTCACCTAACTTTTCTATATTTGAAAATACAGTATTCCATGACACAGCAGACTGAAGAACATATTGTCTAATCCTGTGATGTCTTGAAATATTAAAAAGGCTTCCAATGTGCACAAATATTAGTTAACATGTGTAATTCACATTTTCGCCTCCTGCACTGGAGTATACATATTTTGGCTACAGGAACTTAATAAAATGCATAACCAAAAGGAAGATTATAAATAAAGTGAATATCCCTTTGCAGCACTAATGAGGATACAAACTACCTGAGTTTCTCTCTCATGCCTACCAAGAATAATTGAAACCACTTAATATTACAGATAATTATAGCTTACAGGTGTCTATTAAATGTTCCTTCAAACACAAAGCATCTTCCTTCACCTCAATGCTATTTTAGAAGAGAATTCTATATGAGGCATAGTTATGGAAAATTCAAGTGGCTATTAACAACATTAAGCTTTCACTAACTCATGAATTACACATCAGTGAAATGAACGACTAGGAAAAAGAAATACAACGCACACCACCACATATTCAGCAATATATACACTTTGCAATAGCAACACAGAGATCTGAATGTACAGGGTCTGATTCTCATTTTCATTAAGCCCTCTTTACATTGCTCTAGCAGTTTAAAGGGATCTTTATGTAGAAATAAGCTATAATTATACTTATTATAAAGTCCCTTGCCATGATTAGACCTGTATAAAGCAACCAAGGTATAAAAGAGAGTTAGGCACATAATGTCTAATGCCGTACTAATAAAAATACGTTAGACATCCCCCTTTCAGCACTGAGAAAAAATTGTGGAATTTGGATATATGTACAAGTTGTTCTTATCTATGTTACAGCCAGGCTTAGAATAGGCTATTTTTATTTGTATAGTAATAGAAAAAACAAACAATGCTAGGATGAAGGAAAAGCAAACTGAGAAGAGATACAGAATATAATTTTTTGTACAACACGCTGAACATTTAAAACACTATGCATGTGCTAGCAGAAGTGGAGTGAAAATCTATTATATAAGAAATTGAAATCATGACCCCCGTAATAAAAAAAACAAACAAAAAAACTTATACAAATATGCATACACACAGTTTGAACTTACTGATAGAAGTAAGAAATGGGGTTCCCCCTTCCTATAAGTACAGCTAAGCCATTCCTGTCAGTTTTTTTTTTATCCCTGCATTTCTAAATTACCTCTTAAGGGTGATTAATTCCCTTCCCCCACTCCCATTTAGCACCCACCAACTGGCTAGTATTTCTGCATCTTCTGGACCAGATAGTCCTGGCATAAACTAACAATTATATGAGTCCTATTGCTAGTTTCTCAGTATTTGGTACAATACAGTTCCACCAAAAATCTTTTGACAAGGTCACTCTGAACCGACAAGTCCTGAATTAGAGAGACAAGAAATCAGCCAAAATATGAGCGAAGTGGAAGGGGAATGTTCAGTTTTGATTAATTAAACTGTTTATTGCACATGCAGCCATGCAAATTTTTCAAAGAGTTTGAAAACTATTATACTAAATATCTTAATATCTTACATTTTTGCTTGTGTCAATTTAAGCTTGCACTTTAAAAAAAATAAAAATTAGACCCACCAGGACATTGGTATCTGAGAACGGTCACGTTTTCCCACTGCTCCAAAACCATTGTTATTGCAAAAATGATTTGATGGTTACAAGCAATGTCACTTGGTTCTTATGCAAACTTCAACATAAGAGCAAGTTTTCTACCTATAATAAGCTTCAGTCCCAGTTAATTTGCTTCCTGATCCAGGAACAAGCATAACAAGCCTTGTGGCTAGGGGAAATTGGTAGATGGGGTATATCTTGACTTTAGTAAGGTTTTTGATACTCTCACATGACTCAAACAAACTAAGTACATACAACCAAGAGGAAGTAACTATACAGTGGGTGAATAACTGGCTGGAAAAGAGATAGTTCTCACTGGTTAACAGTCAAGTGAAAGGGCATATCAGATGGGGTCCAACAGGGATCAGTTCTGAGTCTGGTTCTGTTCAGTATCTTCATCAATGATTTAGATAATGGTATAGACAGAGCAAATGTATAAAGTTTGCTGACAATACCAAGCTGGGAGAGGTTGCAGGTGCCTTAAATGGTATGATTAAAATTCAAAATGATCTGAACAAACGGTCTGAAGTAAATAGGATGATATTCAACAACACAATTGAAAAATACTCCAGTTAGGAAGGAACAATCAGTTGCACATATACAAAATGGGTCTAGGAAGCAGTAAGGCAGAAAGGGATCACAGGGCCACAGTGGATCACAAGCTACATGAGAGTCAATAGTGTAACATAGTTGCAAAAAGAGCAAGCTTCAGTCAGGGATATAGGAGCATGTCACTTTTAAACAAGACACGTAATTTTTCTGCTCTACTTCTGCACTGATTAGGCTCAATCAGAGTATTGTGTTCAGTTCTCGGCACCACATTTCAGGAAAGATGTGGATAAACTGGAAAAAGTCCAAAGAAGAGCAACAAAAAAGATTAAAGGTCTAGAAAACATGACCTATGAGGGAAGATTGAAAGAACTGGGTTTGTTTAGTTTGGAAAAGAGAAGGCTGAAAGGATACAAGGAAACTGTTCTCAAGTACATAAATGGATATTACAAGGAAGAGAGAGAAAAATTGTTTTCCTTATTTTCTGCAGATAGGACAAGAAGCAATGGACTTAAATTACAGAAAGGGCAAATTAGGTTTGACATTAGGAAGAATTTCCTGTCAGTGCAGTTAAGTGCTGGACTAAATTGCTGAGGGAGGTTGTGGAATCTCCATCATTAGAGATTAAGAGCATATTAGACAAACACATATTAGGATAGTCTAAATAATACTTAGACAAACCTACAATCACCACTTTTTAAACAAAGTCACTTGGGAGGAAATTTTATTTTAGAAGGAGCTTTAGCTATAAATGCTTAATTAAAGCACAGAAGAGCACAGTCTTTCATCAGAGGGAAACAGATGGCTTTAAAGTGAATCTGAGAATAAAGGCATCATTCTCCTGATAGAGACACTCAGAGTAGATCAGGTTCTTCAATCACACCTTAATAAACTAGACTGTGGTCTGCTGTTTTAAGAGGTGGAAAGAAAAACCTTAAAATAAAAAAAGCAAATACAAAATTCTGGATGCCACAGATTAGGTGATACTGGAGTTCAAGCCAAACCTCAAAGCAGGTTAAAGCATAAGAGTAAAGCCTGTCTTTAACATCTGCATTTCCACATCAAAAGCTATGTTTGGGACACATCAAGTCACTTAATTAGCCTCAGTAAGCAGAGTCCTACAATGGACAGGTATTTCTTCTGCTGTGTATACATTATATATACTATCTTGGTTTCTGTTATTTCCACGCCAATTCATCTGATGAAGTGGGTTTTATCCAAGAAAGCTCATGATTGGGGTTGGTTTCTAAAGTGCCACAGGACAACTCCTTGTTTTTAATCCCATTCTTTGGGGGGTTTTAAAAATTGCCCTGTGAAACTAACCAGCGCTGGCGTGGCGATGGTGATGCTCACAAGATTTGGAGGCTTGCTTAGACTGGCCACTTAGTCAAAGCACGAGCCTCTTCACCTTTTTTTGGCTTGAGAACGAGCTCGGCGCTAGTATTTCCAGCTTCTATCACATTACAAAAAGCACAGGCTCTAAAGCAAGCGCTCGGCCGGTGGGTTGGGGCAGGCGGTGGGCGCACTCCCCAGGGCGGGTCCGGGGAGAGGACCTTCCACAGGGCAGCAGAGGAAGAGGGCATTGCCTAGGAGGCAGAGATCGAATAACGAACGGGGCCCCGGGGAGAGGGACGGGGCTCGGGGGGCCCCGGGCAGGGCTG